AAGTCACATATGGCATTTCTAGATAAAGCAAGTGAAGTATCTCAGTTTGTTTCTGTTGAGACTTCCTTCACACCCATAGCTAAGCCGCTAAGAAGCAGTGATCAATCCAGTGAAGGAACGAGGAGAAAACATAATACCATGTTGTCTCCTTTTTTTTTTTTTCCCTTTAAGAAAGCAAATAATATGTCTTTGAGGAGTCAGAAATACCATTTTTTTTCCTGGTGGAAAATCTCTAGGAGAAAAGATGAATACAATGATTGATTGCTTCAAGCATTTTTATACTACCTGTCACTGACCAATGGATGGGATATATTCTCTGCATGAGATAGGGCCTGCCAAGGAGTTACTGGATACGCTTCTACAGAAAATGCTCTTCAAATGACTTTACAAGTACAACAGTCCCTCTTGACCTCCTAAAATGCATTGGTAAACTCATCATTCTCCTCCACTGAAAGAACTATTCACCATTTCCATTATCTGGTTCAGAGGAATCTTTGGAGAACTAATTATCTTAATAAGCATCCACACCCACAGCCACTCTGGCTTGTCACCTGTCCAAATATTAGAGCAGGTTTTTGTGAAAGGTGGTCCTACTGTACCTGATACACCTCCCTCCATGCCCTTATACTTCAGGTAATACAGGGAGACAGACAGGACAGCACTTTCAGGACACAGAAGACAGGAGAATATGGAGACTTACATCTGATGTAGCCATGCTTTGGAAACTTTCAGATTTGCTGTAATTGTTTGCATGGGGAGGTTTTTTGGATTTCAAAGCACTGTGTATTAAATAGATACAAACTTCAAGGACAAACTTAAGTTATACTGAATTATACAGATATCAATAAGTTTAATATCTTTCTGTTTAATTTGTCCCCTTGCATACAACTCAATTAATCTTTGCCTCTGCTGCTGTCAGGTTTACAGCTTACAAGCTGAAAACATACTCCTTGTGTAAGATCACAAAGGACTCCAAAAGTGTTAGTTGCCCTTTTTCTAATGACTTTTTCTGCAACTGCACACAATCGTTGACTACTGCACTAAAATACTGTGGGTATTGTAGTTGAGAAGCAAGAAAAGATGATGTAGTAAAGAGAAAAACACAATTAGCAATGTGTACTATGTTTCAGAAATGTTTTTGCACCTGGTTCTCTTTTGTCCTTAGCTGAGACACAAAAGACAGCTTTTTCATTATTATTGTTGTTGTTGTTTTTGCTATTATTTAATACTGCTTTTGCCAAAAAGAAGCCTCACTTCATCAGGGACTGATAAAGAAACCAGACTCCCCCAGGCTGGGCAGGGTTAGCTTCGCTTTCAGTGTCTTCAATCATCATTAACTTTGAACAATGTCACATCCCATTCGTGCAAAACAAGCCTCATGAGCAGCTGTTGCAAATAAACAGCTTGAGGAAGCTGGACTCTACAATCAAACTGTTTACTTTGCACTGCTTCAGCACTGCTTATCTTTCTTTTCAGATGGCAAATGCAGTTCTTGCGCCAAACCTGCAACCAAAAACTGCTTGGCACAGGTTCAGAGCAGCTGGCCAGAAGAGGGTATCATCTCCACTGGAGAAGGCTCAGAGAGATTTTGCAGCTCAGTTGCTGACAGCCTGAGAACACTCAGAAGCAGCATTTGTCAAACTGGGACCAGATTCTTGTGAGTGCCTGGAGTCTTGCTAGAAGCACCAAACAAGCCAGGGGCAGTCAGACACAGACGGCCTTGGCTTGCTTTGGTTAAGGCTTGAAAATGCTACAGGTCTTCTACTAAATACCATGTCATGTATCTCTTTGCTGATCCTAAGGAAGAATGAAGATATCCTTAGGCTTAGACACCAAATGTGCATGCCTATCTCAATCCAGAGTAAAGCTATTTTCATGGTTTTCAATGAGAACTGCTCACCCCCTCTCTGCATGGGCCCCTGACCCACTTCCCAGCAGTCTGTTTTATCGTATCCTTTCATCTGCGAATGAGAGCAAAAACAAGATGACCCCCTCACCCTTGATTTCATACCGAATCCCCTTTGACAAGTTCTGCTATAGTTTACAGGAACAATGAAGATGTACAGGAAGGACATGCTGTCCTGAATTTAAGCTTAGCATGTAAACAAATGTGTCACCAACTGGTACAGTAAGATGCTTCTCATTACTTTTGTACAATATTACTGTTTGTAATTCACTATTAATTGCAACACAAATGTTAATTTTTACTTTTTTTCCAAATTAAAATAGGGGAGGAGAAAGATCATTAACAGTGAAGACAGTGATCTTGGCTTTTTTCCTGTTTTTATGTTTTGTTTTGTTTTTTTATTTTCCTGAGGATGAAAAAAAACACCATTGGCAAACTTCATGCAGCCACGAAAGCATCTACAGTTAACAAAACTCAAATTTTAATTGATAAGGCAGAAACAATTGTCCGATTCACTGTTGAGTCTGGTACACAGACAAGAGGAGGCTAATAGGTCACTCACAAACATGTCAGACACTGAGCAAGAACAATTCCTTCTTGTGGGCTTGACATGGAAACTAGTTTTCTAAGGCTCCTTGGTTTGGTACCTCTCTCTCAAAAACGAGGGAAAAAATATTCATCTGTATTTAATATGTTGAATATTGACACTTGTCTCATTCCACAGAAACTGTTACTTACCTTTCTTCCATCCTTTACCAAGCTGGCTGGTGTACTAGAAATTCACTGCGTGTTGTTCACCAAATCTTCACTCGTGTTTACAGTGAAGCAAACCCATCAACCCCATTCTCCTCACTTGTTTGGATTCAAAATACGGGTTTTGTTATTCCTGCCCTTTCCCTGAGCTCCTGCCCTCATCTTGCCAAGCCCCAAATTCACAGCTTGCTTTGGCTTTGGTGGAGCTGCAAAGGCTTTGTGATGCCTATATAAAAACAATAATTATTTGCTCATTAAAGCTAAGCTTTCGGGGATGTGCCCCAGGTACTGACCTCCACCAATGGCCTGGGTTTGTGGTCCACCGCAAACCTGAAGTGGCAGAGTTCACAGTAGCTGGTGTTTGAGGATGACAGCCAGTGCTCCAGGCAGCTGCGGTGAATAGTCCCCAGGGTCCCCGTACATTCGCAGGGGGAAAGCAGGTCTTCCTGACTGCTGCCCTCGTGGCAGATCCTGCACATCGGCCGGTCATTGAAGGGGCTGCTGGAAGAGACGAGAAAATTGCTAGTCAGTATGCAGGGCTGTGATCTGACCTCTCTCTCTGTATGTCACAACTTAACATGGGAAGTGTGCAGCTTGTGTACTTTGCTCTGTAGTTAGTATACTAAGCTGCTGGGCTGATGGCTGCAGGCACTTTGGTATTGCTGTTTAAAATAGGGACGGGAAAAGCAGAGAGTGAGAAACACATCAGAGTGGTCGAGAGACAGACAACTAAATGCTTCTGTATCTTTGTATTTCTCTTCACAGTGCAGCAGAGCAGCCACTTCAAGAAACCTGTAAATGCAGGTTTTAAACCTGCCTCAGCTGGGCATCTCTTATGCTAGTGATGACCCTCTGACGTGCAGCATTAACTGCTTTCAGTGATCAGCAGCAAAGGACTACTGGACTCGAAACAATAGCACCTTGCCCTGTAGCAGTGCGAAGGCAGGACCACAGCTTCAGGCAGGCATGTGCAGGCAGGAACCTCCTTTCCCTAGGGAAGGCTTCCCACTCTTTGGGAAAACACCCCATGAGCAGCTCAAGGAGTGATATTAACAGCACTGGAAAGGAGGACTGTGCCAAACACATCCCTCCTGCATTGCTGCCTGTGGCTACTTCTTCTACACTGCCTCCCCTAAAGCACCCACCTTCCTGGTGGCAGGGTGCTAATACACAAAGGGGACTCCACCTGCCAGTGAAAACCTAAAGAGTGTGATTTTAACTACTGAGATTCTCTGTTTTACAGAGGAACCTTTTGGGAAAGTGCAAGGCAGTAGTGTAGCTTGCCGAGGTGCTCAGGCTTGGTGCAGTGAGAGGAAAGCAGGAGCATGCTGCTGAGCACCAGTGCTGCTGAACTGTGGATCCACTTCACTGCAGCTTCAACTCAGCCCCCCTGACTGCTGAGGCAAAGAAGGTCAATTTCTTGGCTGAGGTCTTGGGAACAAAAACTCTCCGTACGACATAGGCCACCTCAGGTGATCTCTTCAGCAAAGTGGGTTTTGTCACTGTCACTGACAAAACCTCATTAGTGGATAGCATACGGTGGCACACAGCTGTTCCCTCTGTCCCTCTTCTGGCTCTTTGCAGGCTGCCCCAGGTAAAACTCACTCAAGTGTAACTGCAGGAAAGTGTAAAGAAGCCAGCCCACTCCTTTCAATCTGCCTGGTAAAACAGTATCAAGTTCTGCTTAATGCATTCCACACCTATGTGAGCTGTGCAAAATGCACAGATTTTTAAAAGATGCTACAAGTAAAGGGGAAAAGGCCTTTTCAGGCTGTCATACCACACATGCAGAAGCAGTTCATAATTTTGCTCTTCACACGAGTGCAGTGGATTGGATTATGCTTGCTGTTGTGTGAAAATCTACTGCTACTTCAAGACCCGTGCAGTCTTTCCAGCCTTACACTTAGTGAAGTAGAAGTTAATTCTGACCCAAGGATCAAGTCTGGGTATGGCCAAACCCTTAACCATCCTCTTTCTTGCTTCTAATGAAAACAAAGCTAACCCGAAGCAGGCTAGTGTTTCAAAGGATATAGTTTAAATATATATTTCACCACTAATCTGCCATTCTAAACCGACAGCAGGAAGAGTCACTCCCAATTACCTGGACGAAGGCTGAACACTTGTGTGTGCACCTTTGCTAGAAATAGCTTCTCTGGCCACCCAGTGTGCTGGCTTGGGAGGTGTGAAGAAAACATGCTGCAGAAGTGTTGGTGGCAGCATGCAGGCTAAACACAGCATACCCTGCCAGCCAGCATCCGCCAAAGCCTCCCATCAGGTATCAGGACAGATTATTACAGCTAGTGTACTTCAGCAGCAGGATCACCAACAGCTTGCTTTCCCCTCCTTCACGGGGTATAACGGTGAGGGCTTAATTACATATGTAGGATAATCATGATAAAGTTAGACTGAGGGTTTAATTACAGGTGCACCGTGATAAACCTTCCTGAAGCACGCCACCAACTTTTCCCCTCAGGCTCTCGCGGGACCTGCGGGTGGGAGCCGGGGAGGGTGGACTCCAG